CACTAGGATAAACTCCATATCCCAAAGAAATATGCTCAGAAGTGAAGTCTTTGTTCCTTTCATTTTTCCTTTCTGCCAAAGACAATCTCCTGCTCTCTCCCAGTGTGATTTCACTGACTACAAGAGAATTATATCCCTCAGGACCAGCATTGTTTATTAAGAATAGCTTAACACGAGTTTTAGGATATGTGAATCCCATGCCCAGCTATTTAAAAGATGCTACTTTTTGTTCTGTTTTTATTATTAAAAAAAAAAAAAAAAAAAAGAAAAAAAAAAGACAGAAGCTGTTTTCAACATTCCGACAAAGGTTTTCCAAAGGAGGACCCAAAAATAGGGGATAATATCCATACACAGAGTGGAATCAGCCAGTAACTCCCATTTATTACAGAGGAAGATTTTGGATGCTAAGAGCAAGAAAACCAAGCTATCAGTTTAGACACTACAAGCTGGATTTTAGAGCATTCATATTAGATTCCAACTCTAAAAGCCTATACCTTTACATTTTGTAACTTTTTATTTTATTTTCATAAAGATAGGTCGTACACCCAGAACCCTGAATCTCAAATAAACCTAAATGTAAATTTAAGAAATGCCAAAAGAAAGCCAAAGAGTGCAGAACTGAAACTTAAAATTGCAACAATTCTAGCCCCTATCGATCGGTGGAAAGCCTTTACTCTAAAACAATTATTAAGAAGTTGTCCAGCTTCCCCCAAAGATACACATCAAAAATGTTAGGAGAGAGGTAAATAAATAGGCGAACAGTCTCCTAATTTCCATTTAGAATTAATCTGAGATGTTTTTCAGGCCCACTGTCATGACATGAAAACATCCTCTGCCCTATAAACACATTATATGCTGCTTTATAAAGCTCTAAAATAATTTGTTTACTTCTGTGGCAAGTTTGATTTATTAGAGTTTATTGCTCCTGGTTTTACCTCCTTAGTTAAGAAACAAAAGTTTAGGACAAAAAAAAAGCAAGCTGTGAAGAAATCGCAGCTACGACTGAGTTTGCCATAGCAGTAAAAGACCTGAATTTGAATATTCAATGCGCTCCGGAAAAAGCCGGTCGAAGATAGGTGCATGTGCTTTGGTGACCCATTCAAAGCCTTGCTTTGAAATACTGTCCCAGTTGTTTTTCATAGAAGGGCATGAACCACGATGAAATCACTAAATTTGTGTTCCCTTGCTTTTGTTTTTTTAAAAAAAAAAAAAAAAAAAAATTACTGCCATCCCTTAAAAGCTTGTTTTCTTTGTTGATTAAGCAGCAGTCAATTTTCCCTTTTCAAACAACCACTGAGCAACAGCCTCCCGACCCCCTCGGATATTCGGGCTGCTGGCAAATACTAAAACCTCGGTGACAAACTGCAAAAAAGCTCGACCTTTCCCCTTGTCCGGTGACCCCCTGTTCGATTTGTACTTTAGCTAACCAATACCTGATTAGATAATGCTCAGCTCTAGACCCACAAAATGAGATAAAATTCAAATTTATGGCTTTTCATTTAAACTGGTCTACAGCACTCTAATCATGACCCAAGCGCAACTCTATCACAACAAATTCTCTTTGTCCCAGAGTGTGTTTTATGGCTGAAGTATATAAATGGACACGATAGACATTGTTTTGTTGTACTTGCTCTGACAAAACTCTGCGTCGACGCCATAGGGAGGCTTGCTGTAGGGGAACGTAGGAAGAGATCCCATGAAATTCCTCAGCCTTTTGCAGCAAATTTTTCTGCATCGTCAACAGCCTGGCTGCAAAAATTAACAGCAGCATTTACTCCAGCTTCCACTTCTCTCCCTCCCCACCACTACAGGCTAATCCTAGTGTCACCTCAGATGGACATCAGTCACAAAAACTGGAAGTCAGAAGTATCCCACAGCTGGAAATACCCCAAACTATGACAATCTTTTGCAAGGGAATTTAGCGTGGTGTCTTATAAAAACATCCTTTCCAAAGACATAGTTAGAGTCCACATCTGTGTGTAGCTATAAAGTCTTCCCTGCAACGTGCACATAGGGGTTTGGGTTGAAATTTTCTAGTTTAAGACTCTAGGTTACCTAGCAATCTGAACAACTGCAAAAAAGGGGCAAGTCTTTGATAGTAAAGTCAGTAATACATGGAGTATTAGCAAACAGCTAAGGAAGATGCTCAGCTTTCCTTCCAAAAATGTTTTAGTATGTTTATGCTAATTATTTTCTTGAACAAAGATTCTTCCTTCATCATCTCTGAAAGTCAAACACCAGCGTATGTTCAGTGTTTCACCTTAAACTCAAAAAAATTTAGATAAAATGGAAGGATTGCTTTTCCAGTCACTTAGTCATCCTCACTGTAGCTGCAGGGGACTCTATTCAAGAGAATTAAATAAGCACACAAACTTGTTGCAACCCCACTATATATTTCTCTGAGCAACGCATATGTGAGGTGAAGAAACAAGTAAACCAGGACACAGCAAAACATTTCTTTGGCCTGTGGGACCAGCCAGAAAGTTCGAGCGGGTTGAGGGATCTCGCCTTTTGAAGCCACCAGACACAGCTGACCTCTATAGCATCATGAACTATTCTAGGAATTATATATAACCAAACAGAAAAGAATATCTTGACAGCAGCTACGTCAGTGGAATTCTCTCAGCACACAAGTATCGTTATGGGAAAAAAAGATTTTAAAACCTCTCATACTACAAAGTCATTAAAATCCACAGTCAGTACCATACAGAAGCTTTGGCTCCATCCTTCCTCCATTTAAAATATAACAATGAAATTTCACCTTGATATCGGCAACAGCAGACTGAATTCCCCATTTGTTAGCTGACTTATTGGCACCTGGCAGGAGAAATGCCATTTCACAAAGGTGCCCATTCAGGCAGAAAAACTGACGGCAGAAAAGCTCATCTTCCCAAGACCTCGATAAATGACACCTTTCCCTCACCATCCCATGCTCCCTTTGACACCGCCTGACCCTACACAACTACTTTCTCCCTTTTTTATCCCAAGGCATAGGTCCAAGGTAGTGGTGGTTTCCAGAGCAGTGTGATGATGACCATCTGGGCTGGGACGGGCAAGGTCTTCTCCAGCACTACCAGGGTCCCCCACATCTGTCCTTTGCCCTTAACCTTCACTACATGCCATCATGCTCCTTATGCAAGCTCTGGTAAGCAGCAATTGTCTCCCTTCCATTACAGTAAATGTACTTAACCCACTTGTTGGAAAAATATTCTGTTTCAAGCTCCCTTGAGCATTGCAGAGCACTTCTAGGTGAGTGGCCAAATTGCAGAGGGACTCGACTGTTGATTTTGTGTGATTTTTCTCCAGCCCTTTTCAATAGCTTCTCCCCAGCTGTCCGAAATCTATAACGCTGTTCAAATGGCATGAGTCCTGCAGCTTGAAAGGGATTCAGTCTGCCAGCTGGGCTTCCAGCACTATCAAGATATGCATTTCTTGTGCCGATTTTGTAGACCGCAAAATCCTAAATATTTGAAGCAGGAAAACTGGTCTCTAATACTGCAGTACATTATCAACATCTAAGGGTGTGAAAAATCACGATGGGTTTCCCTCAATATTATTATCCTGCACTATACCACCTGAGGAATATCCTAAAAATCTCTGATTTTGGTATATGTTAAACCTGCAAGTACAGCCGTGTCTCAGCAGTTTTGCTCCAATTTCTGTTATCAATATCTGAGCTTAATTGTGTTGTGGTTAAAAGTCAGATTTTATGGCTTCCTGGTGCCTTTGTCAAATAATAAAGATTTCTCAGCAGCAATTATATTGCATCAGGGTCTGTTAACTTGATAGAGTGCTGCCACCTCTATAATTTCTCCTGACACTATTCTGTCATATTGTCACACGTCTCACCAGAGTTTAAACAACCAGATGGAAAGTTTGGAATGAACTCACGGAGTATTTATGGACAGCAAATCAAACCTCTATTTTCCACCATATCTGCAAGGCTCTGCTCCACAGCAAAACTCCATTTTTTCCTGGGAAAATGAACCTCCCAACTCTCCAGAGGTCAGTCATGCCCCTAGAGAGCCGTGCAAACTCTGCACTTCTCCTCTTATCAGAAACCAAAGGAAACGTACAGATGGAAAGCTGAGATTGCACTCTGTTTCTACAGCACATTGTTAAAACTATGAATAAAACCGGGCAAGAACATTTGTTACGGCATAACACAACTGGCAACATGCAGCACTTGAGGTCTAAAGCCCTGACCTGACCATGGACCTGCAACTCGGCCAACTCCACGATGGTATCACAGCGAGGAAACCACATTGCCCCCAAAGGCAGGGAAAGCAAGAGGCAACTGTTGTACTCGCCAAAGGAGGCCTTGTGCTCCTTCAAGAAAAGCAACATTTCTCAGAGCATCTGCAGAAGTAACATGAGCCACATCATCCCCATATGTGCTAGGTCTGACACCAGCATCCAAACATACTTTCACTGAATGAATGGCAAAATTCCCATTAAGTTAAACGGAACCAGGATCAAACCCCCAGTTTTTGACATCCCAGAGTAGCACAAGGTTCTGCAATAGCAATTTTAGCCACACAATGCCAAATTTTAGGGCTATTCTAACCATTGTCAACAGAAAGGGGCGATGCACAACCCTGAAAGCAGCACTCAGTTTCTTTTCAAATATGTAGCGCAGTGTCATTTGCAAATCCCTAACCCACGAACATACAGCAGGACTGCACAAGAGCAGACTAAAAATGGTAGAGAAGTGTTCCAACAACGCAATTTCTTCCTTTCCTTCCCCAAAAGAGACATCACCTGCCAATATCCACCCAAACAGATTTCATGCATGAAGAGCAACAATAATTCCTGCCTTTTTTCTTTTTTAATTTACACTTGTTTCCATCCAGAAAGCCCTGAAAGGCCACACAAAGCAGTCTTCCTGCACACAAATATCCCCTGGCTGCTGCAAGATAGGACTCAAATTCTACAAATATTTCTGTGTTTATAGACACGCAAGAGAGTTCAACAGACCAAAAGAATGTAAAGTGTCTTACCTCCCAACCGTAACTGGGATCTTTAAGGTGTGGCCGCTGCTCTCCTACAAAAGGGCCAAACTTTTCCCCTGCTTCAATCTTCCTTTTGGTCCATATCCCTAATCCTGCTCCAGGAATGTTGGATTCTCGGAGCTCAAACTCTGAAGGAATGGGAATGTCATCAGGGATGTATATCGGAGCCTTGTAAGGAGAGCTCTCCTTTGGCGTGAAAGCTTCGCTGGAGGTTGCTGGAGAAGACGGCTCTTGAATGTTGGCAGATGTTGGACACTGGATGTTTGCAGCCTCTCCATCAGCTTCTGGCACTTCCTCCAAAGGAAGTTCAGGAAAACTTTCATACAAACATTCGTCACCTGGAAAATAAAGCCAAACAGTAGGATTTGAAATACCCTGACAGATTTTGCATATGAAATCCTTTTCGGCATGCACATGAAATGGGGAGGACAGTTTGGTAGGCGCATAGCACCTTCATCAATCACTAGTCCCGCAGCAGAACCTCACCCTGAAAGGAGTCAAGCCTTTTCCCTACTGTAGGCCTGGGGGTACACAGTGTTTTTCTCAATATTCCTGACATCAAAAGTAGTTTACATCATTGAACACAAGCGAGGGAATTGCATACAGATGTATACGCAGGCACACCCTATTATCCGGATATAGCGCTTTGCATTGCATACTCTTTGAAATTACAATTGAAAGCCAACTTGAAATCTAAGTGACATGAAAAGCAGGAAAACTTTACTGGTCTTTCAGAGAGACAGATTGAACCTAAAGTAGCCAAAATTAAGTTTGATGGCCTCCAATTAGTCTTTGGAGGAAAGGATCCAGCCTACCACACAACTCTTGGCAAGAACTTCAGCTGATGTAAATCAGTGTCTTACCATTGATCTCCAAGAAACACAATGGTCTGAAATAAGTTCAGGATCCAAACAGCACCTTATAGAGAACATGAACCTTCTCCTCTTACACTTGCAAAAAAACCTGGGGCAGATCCAACACACATTAAAAAAAAAAAAATTCCTTCATCTCTGGGGCTTCGCCAGCAAACAAAAAAAAAAAGAAAAAGGAAAAAGAAAAAGAAAAACTCACTATTTTTGACAGCTCAAAACATAAGGCTGATTGTAAATTCCTTTTTGTCAAAAGTCTCTGAGTGACTTCAGCAGTGGCTTTAGCTGCACCAGCAATACAGTACTCAACCCAGTAATACATGCAAAAAGACAAACCAACCAACACACTCCTTAATTATTTACATTCATTTAACTTCGTTAATGTTACCGTACTTTTCCTAGACATCAGAACTCATTCTGCTTAATTCTAACCTAAATAGGAGGCGAGAATACTATTCTCCAAGGAACAAAGTTGGGAGATCGGGTGTTTAAGATCTGAGCATGAAGATATTTGCATAATATGGTTGGCCCAGAAATTAAAGTGTTACGCTGGGCTTGGCGTTCAGAATGACTCCGTTTCAGTGAAGAAACAGGAAACTTTAAAATGTTCTTTCAATTTCTTGCTCATTTAAGAAACTATCCATGGTAGATTAGCACCGTATGCCTTTTCCACTGGAAAACAGTCATAGCCCATTATCTCTCACATCTTTGTTACATACTATCTCACAGTTTTATATCTGTACTTTCATGCTTCTGGTACTGCCTAAGACAAACACTGGGACATAACAAATCATTTGAATAGATTGCTCCCATCACATGACTGACAAACTGGATTCTTCATCTGTGAGCAATTTATTCACAGCCATGAACTGTTTTTCTTTCTTTTATGTGGCACTGGCTATGACCTCATACATGTCACAAGAAAGTTCAGCTACCCATTCCCCCGGCCTCCGATCTCGCAGACTATCCCTGCACTTTAACAGCTGAACCCAATATTGATTAGATGGTCACTTTTCTAATACCTGGCACTCTGAGAAGTAGAAAATCATGACTGACTCTACCGTTTAGCTGAGGAGGACACACAGTGGAGTTTTCCATGGCTTGTGCTTCAGAAATCCTGCCTGTCATAGCTTAGTGGTGCCAAGTTTGCCAAAGATGCTCAAGGGCTCATGAAAGCACTGGTGCAGAGCTTGCTCTGTGCCCAGCACCTACAAGCCCATGCCTATACATCCCTGCCCAGGGCTGACCCACGGCAAAACTCAACGTGGACTCCAAGGAACAGGAAAGAATAAATGAAAAAGGGTAGGGACACAGCTCCACCTGGGTGTCACCATTCACTTCACCCTGCACTGAAACAACCACCTTAACAGTCATCTCTGTTATGCCAGGGCATTGCTGCTGCCCCCAAACACGGCTCTGCCCCAGCATGGTGGGACAGGCAAGAGAGGTTGGTCCACCCCTCCTGAGCATCCCCAAAACTCCCTCATGGAGGGCCGGCAGTAAAGCTGCATCCACCCAGGGCAAGCTCACTCCTGTTCAGATATCTTTCCCCAACTGTTTAGCTTGCAGTCCTGCCTAAAAGACTTCAGCTGTTTTTGAAACAGGGGTAAAAACCCACCATAACCTATATATACACGGGGTGCAGGAAGAGAAATCGCACAAGGAAAGTGATCTGGATGATGATAAGCACATGGCTCACTGGAAGGGGGGCTTTAAAAACTTCAGGTATCTAAATCCTACTGATTTTCCCTGACAGCTCCGTGCCTCATGCTCAAACTCCCTAAAAAACCCATTTCATGCACCCACTGCTGCTGTCCCCATCCCACCAAGCAGTGCCCCATAAAAACAAGGCTCCCCCTGTGCCCCATGGCCATGCTCAACTCTCCTCCACTGAACAACAAAGTAGCTCAGCCAAATCCTTTGAGTCACAGCAAGCAGCGACCTGTCCTGTGCCTGTCCCCAAAGGGCCACTTTCCTCAGCCCCACTTGCCAGCAGCGCCTGCCCGCAAGCCAGCACAAGCTGAGCCTTAAACAGTCAGCAAGCACGGCTTTGCAGATGTTTTTTCTCCCCCAGGGAGAGTCCAGTTTAATTTCTCTCTCACAGACTCAAAGGCCTCAGTTATACTTATCTCCGTCATTCTGGCTACACTCGGTTTTAGCCATATAGGGTCAAACCTGCAGCTGATAAATTGGCCTCTGGAAGCCTGGCAGGGAGACAAGTCCGTTTGCCAGGTCTATTGTGCCTCCTTTGATTTCCAGCAGCCACACCCAATGTCATCGTTAAACACGGGCTTTCACTTTGAAAGCTCTGGAAAAATATAATACGCCTATATGCCCCAAAGCCCTAACAGTATGGGTAAAATGGATTGCCGAAATATTATTCTGCCTGAAATAGCAACCTATTCTAACAAAAATATATTTTAAAACCTCAAAACAAACAAGAAGTTGAATTACGACTGACCAAGAGACAGGAAGACCATTAAGACGCACTTGTGAAGTTAATGACAGAAGGAGCTATATTAAAATCAATGCCCATGAACCAGGCTCTAGTCTTCATTTTCAAAGGGTGTGGGACTATTCCCCTTAAAATTTACACCCACATGGATCAGAGGGATTTCCAGCAATCCCATGGGATATTGACTGATAGAAAAATCTTTGTGAGGTTAAAATTAGACCCAGGGACTGTGCTGGTAAGCATCATTTTCCCAGTGAACTGCAAATCATTCACACAAATAGCAGTGCAGTTTTGAAATTCAAGATGGCTTCTTAACATCCACTAATTATCCCCACCAGAAATAGGATGAAATAAAATCGAGACCCCTGATAAGAGAACAGATGAGATTAGGTAATGTGGAAGCTTAGATATTAGACTCCATGAAATTCTTTACTGGTATTTTACAATAAAAACATGAGCAAGCTTCAAAGGAAACCCAGGAGGAAAGGTTAATTGCTACTAAAAGACCAGGGTGGACACCTGCGTTTGCACTTTTGACACAACCTTGCACACCGGCAGGAAAGAGTCCACGTGGCTGCGTGCTGGGGCTGTGCCTGATGAGGACGGGAGAGCAACATGCCAAAGCTGTCGCTGTAACTCCGGGGCCTGGGGTCATTTTGAGACCAAGAGGGGTCCTGAGCATAGCTGGG